GGGATGGGGGTGAGGGGAGGGAGAGGGAGAAGGGACTTACATGTGAAACAAGCTTGTTCTCTAACTTGAACTAATAATAATAATAAAAAAAAACTAAAAAAAAAAACAAAGAATGCCCAGTGTGGGCTGGGGATATAGCTCAGTGGTAAAATATTTGCCTAACATGTCTGGGGAATCCCTGGGTTCAATCCCCAGTACTTCATTAAAACAAGCAAAAACCACCAAGAATATTTGATGTTTACTGGACATTGTGGCTCACACCTGTAATTCTAGCACTCTGAGAGACTGAGATGAAGTACTGCCATGAGTTTTAGGACATTCTGGGCTAGTGGTGAGTGTCATAATGGTAACTATCCCCCCCCAACCCGCAAAGAATGTCTGAGCTGGAGGACTAGCTCACTTTTTAGAGTTCTTGCCTAGCATTCACAAAGTGCTGGGCTCCAGCCCTACCACTGTATAAACTGATAGTGGCTTGTGCACACCTGATGGGGGATGTCCTTCTGAATATATGTTTCTCTTATTGGTTGATGGATAAAACACTGATTGGCCAGACCAGGAGAAGGCTAGGAATTGGGGTGGGGGGGGTGAAGAAGGCAGAGAAAGTCCTTAAAAAAATAGATTAGCTGGGTGTGGTGGCACATGCCTTTCATCCCAGCACTCCGGAGGCAGAGGTAGGCGGATCTCTGTGATTTCAAGGCCAGCCTGGTCTCCAGAGTGAGTTCAAGAGCAGGCAAAATTACACAGAAAAACCCTGTCTCAAAAAACTAAAAAATAAAAGTAAAAGAAATAAGAGTCTGGATACTGTAAGTTATTGCATTGCTTTTCAATTGTTTGACTGCTGAGGAAATAGCAACAGCTGCTTAAAGACATTTGAGTATAAATGCTGCTAGATTAATCCAACTTATATATTTTGAAAATGCCTTGAGTTCAAAATTTAAGTCTAAGGACATGCTACTTTGGAAAAGTAATTTTGTTATTGTTTCCACAGAAAATAAAAAGCTGTGGATTCCTTCCAGACTAATATAGTTTGATCAATATATAAACTCTAGAACTGACAGAGACATCTCGCTGCCTGGACAGTCAGTGGCTCAGGTGATCCAACATTCAAAACAGCTTGGAAAAGGCAGCCTCATACTACTACAGTCAGGATTTGGACAGGTTTCTGGGTTGTCTAAGGATCCCCATGGTATTGACAGCGCCCCCAACAGCAGGAAGCAGTTTGGAGAGAATGTCACCCAAATTCCCAAATATTGTTTATAAATGTTTATTTTCATTTAAACAGTGTTGATTACAAATAGTTAATGATCACAGTCAATCTCCTTCTAAAGAAAAAAAGGGGAATATGATATAGAAATGAATACTTTGTATTGGTATGAATTTTGATTTATTGATACAAATTTAAGGTCACTTTTTATAGATATATTTCTATTCTTGTTTAGATGTTGTGTTTATATAGCTCACTTAAAAATATAATGTATAATTAAATACATATTGTATATAGTTACCTATAATAGTGAAAATTATAGTTATGTTAGTTAAGTTTTCTAGATATACAGAGATATATTTGAATTGGATAGATATTCCTCAAACCTTTCAAAAACCTTCAGATTAGGGTTTTTCTCCACAATGAGACACAACTGCTCCTGGCAACACCAATCATATCAGAGAGGAAGATGGGCATCAAAGAAACTCATAATGGAAATTTCTTTCAATATAGTGAAACTAGCCATTTGGGCAAGAAACTGCTCTTGCCTGGACTGTTTGACTTTATGCTGAACATGAAGGACCCATGGGAAAGTGACTGCTGAACTTGCAAAACAAGATAGGACAGTCCAACAGGGTTACTGCTTCATGGAAGAGTCTGCCAAACATTCTGCAGGACACAGAGAAAAATGACTGACAAACTGCCAATACTGGCAGGACAGTTTCAAATTTCCTGCTTTGTTGAGAAGTTGCCAGACACTGTTGACCCATAGGCTGAAGATGGATGCCCCAAAATTACAGAAGAACTTTGAGTGACTGTCCAGGCAGTGAGATGTCTCTGTCAATTCTAGAGTTTACATATTATCCTTCTGAGGTCTTTGATAAAGTTGAAGACAGTTATTGTTATGGTTTTCCTTAGTTATGATAAAAGATAAGTTACATATAAAACTTTAGACCCACAAAGATAGGATAAAAGATAGAATATTTTCTTTAAATTTTGCCAAATGTTAATGGACTGAATATTGTTAACTATACTTCTTACTTGGAAACTGTTCTTTTTATATATTTATATAATCTTACTATGTTAAAGTTAAAACCCCTTTTTTTATTTAGGCAGAAAAGAGGAGATGATGGTGGCTGTCTTTATATATATGTTTCTTTTATTGGTTGGTGAATAAAACACTGATTATCAATAGCCAGGCAGGAAGCATAAGAGGGCCTAACAGACCAGGAGAAGGCTGGGGGGTAGAGGGTGGAGAGAGGTGCAAAAAGAGACACCATGCTGCCCAAGGAATAACATGCCAGATTATGGGTAGGCCACAGCCTCGTGGAAATACATAGATTAATAGAAATGGGTTAATAATTAAGACACTAGCCAATAAGAAGCCCTAGCCATCAGCCAACAGATTTATAATTAGTATAGCATTTGTGTGTTTATTTGGGGAGAATTGGTTGTGGCACCAAGTGGGACAGACCCCTCCATTTTCACACACCTGTACCTAACACACAGGAGATAGAGACAGGAGCATTAGGAGTTCAAGATCATTCTTATCTACTAAGTGAGTTTGAAGCTAGTCTGAGCTACATGAGATCCAGTATCAAATACAGACAGACAAACACACACACACACACACACACACACACACACACACGAGAAAGCAGGAAGCCTTTACTTGAAAACCCCATCTGATCTTTCTTTTAAGTTCCTCGCCCACCTCACCAATCTTTCTCTGTCCTGCCAGGTGCTCCTTATCCCTCGTGTGCTGGAATTACAGTGTGAGCCACCACACCCAGTCTGGGTGCTTTCTGTCTCTTCCGACAAGCACTCACTAGTTTAAGCATGTGAGAGACTGTGTGTATTCCTCCCATAGGAAGTCTGTTTTGGGGTCCAAGCTGGGGTCTTCTTTGTTGTTGTTGTTGTTTGTTTTTGAGTCAGAGGTCTGGTTATGCAGCTCAAGTTGGCCTTCAACTATTTTTTTAATTTAATTTTTTGACATTGAATCCTTCTGACTCCATCTCCCAAGTTCCAGGATTATAGGTGTGCACTGCCACAGCTGGTTTATGTGGTGCTTGGAATTGAATCCAGGGCTTTGTGCATACTAGACAAGCATTCTATCAACTGGGCTACATCTCTAGTCTGGCCTCCAGTCGCCTCCTGTCTTAATTTCCCCAGTTCTGGAATTACAGGTGTACACCATCACACTTTCAAAATGTCCAACTATTCTATGCTCTGTTGATTGCTTAATACAGAATTGACATGAGTTTCAAAACGTGCTTTTTTTCCACATATAACTCCAGCATTAGGGAGATGGAAACAGGAGGGTCCAGCCAGTCTATCTGAATCAGTAAGTTTCAGGTTCAGTGAAAGACCCTGCCAGTCTCCAGAACTAAGGTGGAGAGTGAGAAACACATCTGGAATTGACATCTGGCCTCCACAAGCATATGCACCCTCCACACACAGACCCCATATGGAAGAAGGGAACACTCTGGCTCCCAACACCTGCCCCAGAGGAAGAACACTGTAGAAAGAGCAATAGAAAAATCTCACCTTAAAAAAAATCTCACTTTTTTGTCCGAGGGTCCAACTTGCGGGTGAACCCCCATACCAAGTCGTGGACCCCTTCTCTTACAGATCTTGACCACAAGCCTGAGGTTTCTTTCCCATTGGACCCCACCCTCCTGTCCCCCTCACCTCTTTCAGGTTGAATCTCATGTGGTGACAGAGGATATGGAAGGGCTTCTTGGTGTCTGAACTCTGGGGGTGGTAGCCTTTGACCTTAGAGGCCTGGAAAAGCTTTGGGTAGCCAAACTGGTAGTGAGCAGGCAGGGCAAAGCGTAGCCCTTGCTGGTCCCCATAACGATGAAGGAGACTGAGCACAGAACTGCTCCCAGACTTGTGTGTCTTCAAGAACACAAGCCGCTGTCGGGGTAGGCAAGACTTCATGGTTGGTCCCAATGAAGGGATCCAGGACTGCCGGAGCTGCAGCACAGGTAACCTGGAAAGAGAAAGGAAAGGGAGGGAGTGCCCTGTCCCTTGTCATTATGTGGAGCAGGTCCTTGTGATGAATGGACAGTTGGAATGGGCCCCCCAAGTGTTTACCCCCTAGAGTCACATCCCCAGGTGGATTAAGGAAGAATAGGTTGCTGGGGTATAGTCAGAGAGGTAGGACAGAATGGGGACTCACCTCCTCTGGAATGGTCCCCCTAAGAGCTGGAGGCCAAATCCGATGGTCATAAAGACTCCCAGAGCCACCCCCAGGCTCCGGGGCCTCCAGAGTCTCATGGTCCTGGCAGGAGACAGAGGACCCATGTGTCACAAGGGAAGTGACACTAGACAGGAACAGAGCTCGGGCCAAGAGCCATGGTAGCAGAGACAGCTGGAGATGGTGGTGCAGCTGTGGAAGGTACCTTTTGGATATCAGGGGCTCATTCCCCAGGCCTGCTGGCAGCCCTGGTTGAGTCTTCCCCCTGAGTTAGCAGATTTTTGCCTCTGTCAGCGTCTAGAAGGGAAAAGGGGGGCGGGGGAGAAGAGTCTGAGGAGATGGGCAGAGCCTTTTCTTTTGCTGCTGCTAATGAGACCTGAGGCAGAGATTGTGTGTGTGTGTGTGTGTGTGTGTGTGTGTGTGTGTGTGTGTGTGTGTGTGTGTGTGTGTGTGTGTGCGCGCGCACGCGCGCACTCGCGCTCGTGCTCGTGTGTGCACTTTTTTTTTTTTTTTTTTTTATGACAGATCCTTGTAGACGACCTGGCATCTACTCCCTGTTCTGCCAACCTGGTTTTCCTTCAGCCATCCCAACTCTTCAACTGTACCCGCTCCTAAGCTTGGAATATTTAAAAGGGAAGGAGAGAAAGCCAGGACCCAGAGCTCAAATGAAACAGACACCTCACGAGTTTGAACCTGTTTGTTCATGATTAACTTTCCATCAAGGCATTGTCAATCCAGGCTACCTTCCGAGTCCCTCTGCCAATCCCAAAGAGGAATGAAGAAAACTCCCTTCTGGAACTAGTATAGGTGGAAGTCTTGGGAGAGAATGGGGGATCATACAGGAACAGTTTGGGTGACCCAGGGCAGGAAAGGGGGCAGGTGGATCAAGAGGAGTGATGTGAATCTCTGTTCCTGTTGGCGAGGTTGTTTCCCACTAAGCACAAGGTAGACCCTGAGGTCTAAAAGGGACTGGTGGGAATGTGGGCAGAGCACCTAGATGCACTGCATCCCACTTCCTCATCCTATCCACCAGTGCATAGGGAAGGCAGACAGAGACAGACAGACAGGCAGACTCACACATACACACACGAGAGAGAGAGAGAGAGAGAGAGAGAGAGAGAGAGAGAGAGAGACAGACAGAGAGAGAGACAGAGAGACAGAGAGAGACTCACACACAGAAGAGAGAGACAGGAGAGAGAGACACACACACATGAGAGAGACAGAGACAGACAGACACACACACATACACACACGGGGGGCAGAGAGAGAGAGACAGACACACACACAGGAGAGAGAGAACAACACACACATGAGAGAGACACACACGGGGGGCAGAGAGAGAGAGAGAGAGAGAGAGAGAGAGAGAGAGAGAGAGAGAGAGATTGATTTTTTTCCTTCCTAGGCCCCAAGGTCCCTGATCAACTTGGAGCGTAGTTTCCATCTTTTCAGATCACACCCAGCAATCAAAGATCAAGGTCCTTCCAATATGCTTTGACAGCCCCCTTCCCCTAATTAACATGGTGACCCTAAGCCAAAGAATCCAGAGGCCCGCCTCCTCCTGGCATTATCCCCAACTCCCTCCCCCACCACAGCCCCCAGAATTCAGGCAGCACCTCCTCCATCCTCAGCTACACTTGATTTCCTCCCACCCATCTCGAGCTCTCATTACCCTCATCCCAGCTCAAGGTCCCCTCTGCAGCTTTGGCGACTGCTGTATCGGTCGTCAGCCCTTTGTTAAGGGTCTTCTGAGAACCCTTCAAGTCTCCTTCCATAAATTCAAAGGTCCCTCCACTGGTTCCAGACTCGGCTTCTCTAGCCACTCACCAGGCCATAAGGAGAGCAGTCGAAAAATCAGGTCGGGCTGTCTCAGCCACCGCCCGACTCCTCGGATCAACTTTCCCCACAAACTTCTCAGCACCCAGACTCCTCCCCCACCCTCCCTTTGTCCCGCCAGTCCAAGTAGCTGCTTGCTTGCTTGGGCATTGATCCGTTTTCTCTGGGTCTCTCCCCTCCCTGCCCCTTAACCAGTCCACTGGGGAAAAGATCACCTACCCTGCCTTTGAAGGGTGCCATTTCTCTCCTTTCAAGTAGGCATCAATTACATCTTTTGTTGTTGTTTTTTTAAGCTTTCCACAAAACAAAAGATTTATTCAGGTGAAAGGAATGAGAGAGAGAGAGAGACAGACAGACCAAAATAGCCAAAGTCGGCCAAGAATTGCTGCCTTTACCCTGAAGGCAAAGGCAGTGGTGTGTTAACATAAATAGGCCTGGTGTTCTGCACTTTTACAAGTACTTCCTTATGTGATTCCCGTTTGATCTCAATAATTCTTTTTTAATAGATTAAGATATTCAGACCTCAGGCTTGGGAAATCTGGGGATGTTCCTTACGGCTGCTTGCTCCCAGAGAACAGACTCCAAGGGGCAAGAAGAGGTAGAAACTGAGCCAGTTACAGATGCCCAGGGGGGAAATCAAAGAATATGGAACAGACTGAAAGAAAAGCACTTGCTACACATGCATAAGAACCCGAGTTCAAATCCCCTGCATCCATGTGAAGCTGGGTGTGGCCACAAATGCAGCTGCCTGTAACTCCAGTGATATGGGAGGGGTGGGGTAAGAGGATCACTGGACCTTGCTGGCTGCCAACCTAGCTCCAGGTTCAGTGAGAATGCCTGTCTCAAGGGATTAAGGCAGAGCAGGACAGATGCTCTCCTCTGGCCTCTGGGTGTGCACATGCACGACACGCCCACCCCCACAGACAGTATAGAAAGCCACAGGTATGGTCCAATAAATTATTTATTTACCAATAGACACTGACATATGAAATGGAGCTTGTGAAGGGTGTGCATGGCAAAGGTCACAAGATGAGCCCCCCTCCCCCACTTAAGAAAAAGATGCCTTTAAAGAGCCAATACAACCCAGGTCCATCTCCCCCTACTCCATCCTCTGTCCCACTGTCAGCACCTAGCATTGTTTTTGTGTGAGTTGAGTGCCAACTCTCAATCCTCCTGCCTCAGCTTCCCAAATAATGGGTTTGCAGGCATGTGACATCACTCCCAGCTAGGTTTATCTGTCCACTTTCAATACCAGGTATCCCCCATGCCAATACCCCTCCCCCTACTTCCAAGTTCCTTCAACCCTTTCCTTGACACCCCACCCCCTCTGCCTTTTGCACCAATGAGCCCCAAGCCTTAAAAGAGCTGAACCATACCCCCTTTCCTAAATAAATATCCCCAGTTCCCAAATGAAAAAATAAATATTATGAACACCCACCTACCCCCCAGCCCATCAATGGGAAACTCTTGGATCTGGGGCCCCAGCATTCACCCACAAAGTCCCTTTCTACCCTCTCTGTAGGCCCCTTCCACCCTTCCTCATGCTCAGCTGAGGAAGGTGGAGAGGAAAGGGCCATTAACCCTCCTGACGCTAGGGCGCCCCTCCCTGGTTATCGAAGTCCGAGCAGGGTCAGGGCTGAGGGGAAGAGAATGACGATGAGTGGGGTATGGAGCCCAACAGATGATCCCAGATTCCTGCTTCTGCCCTGGTTATATCTGGCACTGCCGCTTCCTCCTTTGACCCCAAGGCCATCCCTTCGAGGAGGGCGAGGTGGCCTTGGAGGTCTGGCTGGGGGTACCACAGGTGCTGCCCCAGCTTTCCAGTCATCAGCATACTGTTGTCCTCCTCCGGAGCCACTGGCATCTTCATCTGTGGAGATGGGAGGGACAGAGGTAGGGTGGAAAGAAGAGAATGAGAGGTGGGGACGGTGCAAACAGAAGAGAAACTGAGGTGAAACACAAGCACATGTTTTTATATATAGGCACGCACGAAAATGTCCAACCCAACCCATTGTTACTTAATATACGAAAAAAGAGAGATAAAGAGAGGCAAGAGAAGGAAATGTACGTAAGAGTGATGGGCAGGAGTGCCAGGGGAGGGAACGTACCATCAGAAACCGACACCAGACGTGGAGATGGGAGAAGGTAATGAGAGATGGAAAATCCAGAGACAGAATAAAGCCAGAAATGGGTAGACAGGGCGAGAACACAGACAGGAAGCCACAAAAAACAAAAGCAGAGAAATGGGATGGGGAAGAGTAGGGAGAGCTACCAAGACAAAGAATAAAACGTGAATGTGTTCGTTTCTCTTTTTGGCTAATTTGGGGGTGGGGGTAGTCCAGTGGTAGGTACGACAGCTAGCTTCCCTGTCCCCAGGACTGCTCTTTACAGTAAGTCCCCTCAGAGATCTCTGTAGGGATGTTTGTGTCTTTCACTGCAATCAAGGATGGCGACCTTTGAGGCAGGCACTTAGGAAAGGCTTAAACGAATAGGAAAGAATGAAGCAAGTTAATGGGGGGCCAGCAGGGCAGCGAGTGGGACTCAAAAGGAGATGGGCGGGACTGGAGGCTCAGCGTGGGGTGGTGTCAGGGGCAACCGGAAGTTCCAAGAGCAGGTGCTTGAGGGGGCAGAGAGCGGGCAGCGAGGCAGTGGGCTGCGCTCCAGAGCAGCGAGCTGTGAGGGAAGCTGAGGGCCGCCGGCGGGCGGGCCAAGAGAAGCAATGGGCGGACCCCTAGGGGAGACTCGCTGGAGACTGACTGCCAGTGGACGGGGACAAGGGGCGCGTTTCTGGGCCTCACCCGCATCGTGCATGTCAAGGTCCTGACCCAGCGCCGCCGCCTTCATCCGAGCCGTAGCCGCTCGGAGATGCAGCCTCCGCCGCCGCGTAGGGACATCGGGACCCGAGGTATCCAACTCCGGGTTGCGGAGCTGCTCGTTCAAAGAGCCCACGACCACAGGCGACAGATACCTGAGGACACAGCACCCCGAGGGGTCCCGCTGCTGCCTTCCCTCCCGCTGCTGCCCGCCTCCCGCGGCCGCCCCGCC